AAAAAAAAGACTTCTCTTAGGCTGGATGTTCTTTTGTTGACATGACCCTATGTTTTCAGAAGCTCAGGGACAGGTGACACGGAAGTAGGAGACCATTAATGCCAGATCAAACATTTGAAGAAAAATAATCCATCAAGTATAGTCATATTTGAAGGAGTGGCTTAGAAGCCAAATATGGGAGACATCACTAATGAAACACCTATGATAAAGCATTGGTCTTACTTATTCCATGTCTTTTGTTTGGGATTACAACATTGCCTGTCCCTCTATCAAGGGATTCTGTTGCTTAAGATAGTTGACCACTGTCAATAGCTGACTTGCCAGTTTTTATAACAAAAAGTACACAGAAGCACAAGGCTTGCTTTCAAGTGGAAAATGGGAGTTTCAAAATGACATCAGTCACCACAAAAGAACACCAGTTTGCTTTTAGTCTTGGCCTGTATTAGGTGGGTCAGACAGCAAGATAGCATTTCAAGCAAAAGAATATGTCTGAGCAAAAAACAAGAATTAATTCCAGATCAAACAGCTTCTTGAGAGTCAACTTCACTATGTGAGAAGTTCAACAGAGACCCAGGCTTCAATTTAGGCCATTGTAGTGGAGGAAAAATTTCCTCTACCTTTCTAGGTTCTAGGTTCTTCTGGTTGGTCAAATAATCAAATTGACATGAGACAGATTAGCAGGAGAAAACAAATTAAAGTTTAATAACATGCCTACCTCCTGTATGCATGGGAGAGACCCAGGAAAACTGAGTAACTTGCCAAGAGGCAGAAGCCACCACTTGACCATCTTCAGCTAAAGACAAAAGATGTTGGGGGTGGCGAGTGAGTTATAGGAGATGACCAGGAAGAGCACAGTAAACAAGGGTAAGATTGTTATGCAGATTTAGGTTCAGGCTTCTCCATTAATAGTGTAGGCAGGCCTGCACTGTGAGGGAAATAGCCTTACAAATGTAAATGGCCTTCTACAATGGGTAACTTCTACTTGGTTTCCAGAGTTTCTCCCATGTCTGTTGTTCTTTAATATTAGCCAGCCTAAAATAATTTCCCAAAGAGGAGTGTTTTGGGGTGGCAAACTCCTTCCCTTCATCACTAATTAGTCATGTACCCTCTGAACCTCCATTTCCTCATCTGTAAAACAATAATTGTAATATTGAGGTGTGCCCTATAGTCTCAGATGTTTTGAACAATGATCAAATTGCTTCAGGCATTGAAAAGCATCAGAGCATCTACTGTGATGAGTATAAAGAACGTATGGCCTTGAACACACCTGGAAATACTCATTTTTCTTATATAAAACTCTGTTTACCACTTGGAGTGTTTTTCATAACAATATTATGATTAGCCATAACAATGGACTAAGGGTTCACTTATGCCAGGCACTGTTCTACAGTCTTTAAACATATAGACTAATTTAACTCTCAAAATCGTCCTATGAGGCGGGTGCTATTATTGTCATCCCCATTTTTTCAGAGCAGAGAGACAATAAGTAATTAGCTCAAGGTTCCACAATTTCTAAGTTGAGGAACCAGAATTTGAACACTGGCAGTTTGGCTCTTTTAACTGTAACTGTCAAAGTGATGAGTACAGTCTGTCCACTGGCAGTGCGACCACAATGGTTCCTGGAACCATCTCTTTGACCATAATGCTGCAAGGATCAATAATCAGCTCAAGCAATACACCCAAATCCCTTGCTTTTATGTTCACATCAGCAACCTAGTATGAACCCCAAGGAGATTCATTTGATATGAACCCTAAGAAGGAGTTTATCTGCAGAGATGGACTCCCCATGGTCAACTGAGGGTTCAAATTTTATAACTAATAATAGCCTAGCAGCCATTTGTGGACAGGGGCTTCTCACATGCTCTGTATACTGGGAAGAACCTCCAACTGAACTCACAGCTAACAGCACTATGCCCTGCTCAGTTATGCCACCTGAGTCAACTATTAGAAGGGGGTTCCTGGTTTCCTCTTTTGACCAATGTACTAAGACCTGCCCTTTCCAGTCAGAACTGCTCCATAATGACCAATCAGGTTGCATAATGCCTACCAATCAGTACTACATAATTAGGACCAATCAGAAGTGTACAAATTTGGATACCTCATTTACATAAAATGACCTACTTGGGAACATGGGCAGGAGCTTTTGCTATAAAAGGCAGCCTCCCTCAGAAGAGCACAATTTAAGCTGCTACCTGAACGTGTGTCTCCTGGGCTGCAGTAACTTTTGCTCAAATAAATACTTTTTATTATCTATCACAGTCTAAAATTAATTTTGGTCTACACTAACGATAGTCCCTCTCCCCCAAGCCTTGGTGATCCCAGCTACCCACCCTCTCTCTGCCTACCTGCCCCTAGGTAGTTGAGCACTGCTGCGGGAAAAGAAATCGCAAGGTAGACTGGTACCGCCATGAACATGTAACCACTAATCTCAGCTGGGTCCTCACTCAACATTGTCCAAGTATTTCAAATCTCCATTCTCCTGGGAGAGGGCTGCATTGTCACCAAATGTAAACCCATATTGCCTTCTCTCCTGCTAGTTTTAGGAGGGGAGAAGTTCCTCCTTCTATTTAAAGCCAATCCATCCACACAGGTGGTCCGAAGTCCACCTACCTCCACCTTTTCAGACAGCTGACATAACAGATCATCAGTTTTTCTCATACCTTCATCCTTTCCCTTATACAGAATCCTTTCTGTGCATATTTATTGTTCAATCATTGCCTATGTTTAGGAAATCCTCCCCTCACCCCACTCTCCCCTCCAGCCACTGCCTCTCCTCATCTCTCCCCTTTTCCAGATAACGGGTTCCAGCTATCTCCTCCTCCTCACCTTCCACTCCCTTCTGGCTTCCAGGTCCACCACTGCACTGTCAAATACTACTTGACCTTCCCTTCATTATCTCCATTTAAAAAGAAGACACTTCACATTCCTCATCTTAGTTAGTTTCTCAATAGCACAGTTGGTCTGTTTCTTTTCTTCCTTAGGCTGCTGGTATACCATATTCTTCCCTTTTTTATTCTATATCTACTTTTTTCTCAGGCTTCCTTATTGGCTCATCCTCCTTTACCTGACACTTAAATGCTGTAGTGTCTCAAGGCTGGCCTTAAATAGTAGCTGCTTCATAGAGTTGTGTAAGGATTAAATGAATTAAAGCAATAATGGGAAGGCTCGGAACAGTACCTGCACACAGTAAATGCTAGGTAAGTGTTTGCTTTTGCCTCTAGTTGACTTAATCTATTAAGTGGCTTCAATTGCCATTTTTAGGCTGAGAGTTCCCTGGTGCAATGTGATCATGCAGACCTCCTCCTCTCTAAGCTCTAGGAAGGTAGGCATATTCAGGCTCATCATCTCTCTACTTGGACGTCTCCGAGCACCTCAAAGGCAATATTGAAATTGAAACTTCTCACACCCTGCTCCAGCTTGGGTTGGAGGGGATCACAGGCTACTTTAAGAATCTGAGAAAAATCAGTCTCTTCTCATAAAAATTCACAAGTGACATCATTCTGCATACAGCTTGAAGCAATACATGGACCCCCAATTAAGGATCTCTCCCTTAGCAGATGCGTCACTTGAGCTGAGTCTTAAAAAAGGAGTAGAGTTTCACCTGGTGGACAGGCATGCCAGGTGGAAAAGGGCATAGCTGGCAAAGAGTGCAGCTTGACAAAAGCAAGGAATTGGAAACACCCTGCTGATGTGGCTAGATGCAGGGAGCAAGGGTGGACCTTCCTAAAAGCAAGGTGAGCATGAGAGAGGAAATCCATAATGTGGGGGCTTGTAGGCTATGCTGAGCTCTTCACCTTTTATAGATGACACAGCCACTAAAAGTTTGGGAGAGAGACATGATCAGATTTGTGTTTAAAAAAAAATAATGATAGCAAACATATATTGAGTGCTTTCTCTGTATTTTATACCCAACGATAGGCAACTATATGAATGCTAGATAGGGCAAGAGGGGGCAAGCTCTGGAAAAGCAGGGAAACTATGAACAGCCTTTTTGATAACTAAACTTCAAGGGATTTGTGAATATGTGGCAAATACAAGACTAATAGAAATACACAGAAACTATTTTATTTAAATGCAGGCCATTCTGCCTGCATCTTTAAGGCTGGTACTGAGGCAGTCAGAACTCTTCAAACAATTCTGTCCTGTTACCACTGCACACTTTCATGACAGAGAGAACAGGAGGAGCTCTGGTACAGCAAGCCCCTCCCAGGAGTCCTGGCAGCTGTCATGTTGCCCGCTGGGATCCCAGGATGATGTCACCCCCCTGGATCAGGGACTCCTCTCTACCCATTTCTCCAAGAGAGAGACCTTGGAAAAAAGATCTATTTTAAGTAAGTTCTGCAAATTGAAAATAAATGGACCACTTGGTGCTTTATTTAACCTAGCTGAAAATGAGCTGGTTAATTTTGCTTTCTTCTATTCATGGTTCAGCTAACGAGAGGTAGGAGTGGGAAAAAAAGCCAAGGATCTTCAATTAAAATGGATAAATGCCACATAAAGTGTGGGAAAAGGCAAGGAAGTTCAGTTTACTCCACTGGAATATCATTGGGCTCTGTAGTGAACCATCGATGATCACAAGTTTGGATAACAGGGCATTGCAGGGTAAATGCTTTAGGGCATAAAGTCCCAGATTTGGGCGAGCAGTGGCAGAGAAGGCTGCAAAGGAGGGTGGGGTTGGGCCTGGAGGAGGGGCTAAGTAGGGAGCCCTTCTCCGGGCAGGTCAGACCCATGGGTCCATTCTGGACCTGGACTCTTTTTCTGCCACACTCACAGGGCTGCCAACCCCTGAAATTAGTCTAAAACTCCCAACCTTCCAGGATGGAGCTTTTCTGTCTGGGCAGTTCCAGCCCTCCCCCAGAAAGGAAAAGACACCCTTTCCTCCTGGGTCGGTCCCGGCATCCTGGACGTGGCGCTGACTCTGCACAGGGAAATCCTCTAGAGATAGGACTGGGTGGAAGCCTTTACAATGACTTTCATCTCCTAAAAGACACTCAGGAAACCGGTTTTGTTGGGAGAAGGCTAATTAGTCTTCAAAGGTTTGGGGTAACTGTTTGAGTCCGTTGAAGCACACTCAAACTCACATTTCTCATATTTCTTTAACTATGTCTTCGTCCTACCATCTTTATTCCACGTGCACCTAAGGCAAACAGTTATTCGTGGGACAGGTGCGCAAAGGGGAAGTTCGGCGGGGGGGAGTGGAGGGGTTTGGGGTGAGGGATCTCAGCAAGCACAGGAAAGCCATAAAAAGAAAAATGCCACCCTCTTAGAGGGCTTCTGAAAAAGACTTTTCGGTGCGGGGTGTCCTATCCTCTTTTTCTCATCCCCAAGCCCCCGCCCCGGACTTCAGAGGGATCCGGAGCTACAAGAAGAAAGTCCTCACGGAAAGTCCTCGCGAAACAAGTGCAGGAGCATCTCTTGTCTCTCTGACGATGATCTCAGAGGGACACTGCATTTGCCTGGCACGCCACATCATTTCAGTAATAACGGAGGCAAGTGGGGCTGGGTGGGGGGCTGTGGAGGGGGGGGTGTACTCTGAATCGTAAGTCTTTCCACTCCCCCCGCCCCCCATGCCGGGGGTAGGCCCATCTTGCCCCAGGGAGCCTTGGACCACGCAACTCTGCTCTCAGGGCCGGCCTGGGAGGGAGCGGGCCGGCCACAGACCCTCTGGCTTCCCTGGGGACCCGGCGGGAGGGGCAGCCCCCGCCTCCCTGTTCCGCCGCAGTAGCTCCCGCTCCGCCGCTGGGTCCAGGGAAGTCCGGGGCCAGGGAGGGGCCGCCGCGCAACTCGGAGAGCGCCCCCCGCCCACGGCCCGCCCTGGCTCACCCTCCGGTCTCCGCGCCCGAGTCCACGCAGTCATCCTCCTCGCCAGCGCCCTCCTTGCGGTCCATGGTAAGCTCTCCGCCGCGCTCCGCTCGCGGGCGCCGGCGTGACCTGGGGCGCGCTCCCTCGGGGCCGCCCAGCACAGTGCAGCCAGAGCTGGCGGGGCTCGCTGCTAGTGTCTCCACGCCCCGGCTGGGGGAAACAACTCCAGCATCTGCCGCGGTCCACTGCGCCGCGCCCTCTCCTGGCCACGCGGGGCCGGGCACCGGCGGCCACCTGCCCCGCCCCTCGCCGCTCGGCCGTGTGAGCGTGTGCGCGCTAGGGTTTGTGAGTGCCCAAGAGGGTGTGTGCTTCGGGTGTGAGGGTGTGCGCGCGGTGTGTGCATGTGCACCAGGTTATGTGCATGCGCAAGAGGGTGTGTGCACAGAGTGGGAGCGTGTGCGCGCAGATGTGCACACGTGCGCGAGCATGTGTGAGCTCGCGTGCTGCGCGCCTATATGTGGTGTGCGTGCATGAGTGGGAGAAGTATGTGAGGTCGCGTGTGTATGTGTTTGTGGTGTGATGTGGGTAGGCGGGTGAGGTATGTGTTTGTAAATGCACACTACTGTGTATGCGCTGAGCGCGATGTCCCCTGTGCCCGTCTGTGATTTGTAGCCACATGCAGTGTGTTTAAGTGTATGTGTGCGTATGGGAGCCACCCCTTTCTCCTGGGCCCACAGTCTTTGAATCAGAGTCCCAGGGATTGCCCCCGAGGTTCCCGAGTGCTGCGAGCAGCACGGGTAAATACCCCACCACACAGTGAAAGCAAGTAGGGATCTGTTTTCATTTCTAGAGCGAGTTGGAATGTCCAGGTGTTTTATAGTTTCCTCGGAATTGCCAACACTGAATTCATTATCACCTTTCCTAGCACAGTCCTGTCCAAATCATTAGAAGGCACTCGTTTCTACTTTGTTCTGCTTTAAGGCAAGTTATTTAACATCTTTGAGGCTTAATTTACTTATCTGTAAAATAAGGCTATTGATATCTACCCTATAGACTGTTGTGAATTTAATGAGATCATGTATGTAAAATACTTAACATTGGACCAGGTACATACCAAGCACTAGTCCCAGGCAGCTATTGCTACATGTAAAGCTAGCTACATTCCCAACTTGGAAAGCAGTGTCACTCCGGGTGACAAGTGATACTGTTAAAAAGGAATATATTTTCTTTCCTCTCTCCCACTTCCCTCCCTTTATTTCTTCCTTCCCTACCTAAATATCACTTTCTGACTCTTACCTTAATTAAATTACACAAAAGAGAAAGCTATTAATAAAAGAATAGAAATGCAATCTTATCATCAAGAAAAAAACAGGTAAATACACCAAACCCAAATCTTAACTGAATTTCCCTTACTGAGCATAAAATTCCTTTTACACAAAACAGACAGGAATACATTTTACTCAATTTGTGCTCTTAGCTGACAGAAAGGAGCATGCCCGTTCTTCAAAGGAGACTTCTCCCCACCCCTATGTACTGATTTCTAAAAAAAATTTCTCACGAGACAAAAGAAATTTTGTGAGTGATTTACTACACAGTGCCATTAATGACGATTTTAAATTTGTCAATTCATTCAGTAACTATTTAACCAGACAGGAGGGTGAATTCTGAATTACAAATGAGAGAAAACAGCAACAGATATGACACCTGCCCTCATGGAACTTATAATCCAAAGGTGAGACTAATTAAATGAAATAGATATATAGAAATATATAAAACATAATTGGAGATAAGTGCTATGAAGGAAAAGAATAGTGTGCCCTGAGAAAAAGACATAATTTAAATTTGTGTCTCAGGGAAAGCCCTCTCAGGAAGGGGTAGTTTAGCCCTCTGCTGCCTCAGGGCCTTTGTGCTTGCTGTTCCTTCTCCCTGGAATACTTTCTCCCAGATTTTCTGCTAGACTCCTGCTATGTGTCCTTCATGTTCAAATGGTCCCTCAATAGAGAGCCCTTCCCAACTAATCCCACATCACAGAATCCCCTTACTCCTCTCTACTCTTCCTTATATCTCTACCAGCACCTGGCATGTGATAGATTTATTTACTAATTACGTGCTCTTTCCTCCTCAACCCTACTCCAAGAATACCAGCTCCATGACATGAGAACAGAAACTCTGTTTTGTTCACTGCTATATCCCCAACACTTGGAGCAATGCTTAAATGAAATACATCCGTTTCTGTTTTACATAAAAGGAATTTTATGCTCAGTAAGGACAATTCATTTAAGATTTGGGGTTGGCATATTTACCTGTGCTTTTTCTTGATTATGAGAAGCATTTCTAGTCTTCTTTTGTGAATGAGTAAGTGAAGGGGGAGCAGCCCCAGCACGGAGGTGGGGAATGAGGAGAGTGTTTGGATGAGCATGCGATTAGACGGGGATTGAAGGAAAGTGAGGTGACTGAAAGAACACAATATGGCCAAGATGGTAGACATTTCTACATAAATATGACATCTCCAGGAAATCAATATAGCCTATTTGGAAACAATTATAGCCTATTTGGAAAGTAGAAGGACAAATGCAGTGTCGATGAAACCAGATAAAAGGGAGTGATAAAAGTGGAAAAATAAGTGAGTTTAATGAACATTCTACCATCTTGTTATTCTTATAGCCACTAGGGAACCTACCTTTGCCTATTCTGTGTAAGGACAATTCGTATTTGTCACTTTATTTAATCCTTGACATGGAAAGTTCTGCGAAGTAGGTGTATTTTTCCATTTTACAGTGGAGGAAACTAAGCTGCAGCAGCGAGTTCAAAGTGCCTGCCCCAGGCCACCCAATGAGTGAGTGGAGGAACCAGGTGACCCTTAAATACAAGGGAGTCCTTATCATCTGCCTGGAGGGCTAATGGATGGCCAGTCACATCCTCAGGAGACTAAATTAAGAAAAAGGTCAGAGAAGAAAGAGTGAAATTAGCATGGCCTTTAGAAGGAGGGCTGTGGAAAATGAGATGCTACTTAAATTATTTCATTCTTTTTTAAATATCCAGAGAAAGGTCAGACCAGATAAAAAAGCGTGGGCCACATCTCAAAATGATGCATTGATTCAGGTCCCCTGGACCATAGGGACACAAGCGTTATCATTTATCTTCGGCACAGCATCTGATGGCAACTCAGTGATGCATTTATTATCTGGAAGAAAAGTTTGAATGGTAATCACTATCTCTCTGAGCTGATGTATCGTGGTTCTGCGTGGGCTCCCGCCTCAATCCTCGGGTGTTAGGAGCCTCATTTTATTTGTTATTTTTTTTGGAAATAGAGCTGCCAGGAGGGAACCAGCAGGAGGACTTGCAGTGATCCCCATAGGGTATCTTACCCATAGCCTTAAATGGTTCCCTGGCTCTACTTATAACTATTTAGCATCGGTCACTTTAATCGTGGCAGTACAATGCTCTCCTTCCTCACCCCTGTAAGATGGAAGCAGAGGAGTGTCACTGGTCTGCTTAGGGTGCCCTGCCTGCTACCCTAAAGATTTTCCCATTAGAGTCTGAGGACAGCATGGGAGGAACACTGAGGTTTGGTAGGAAGGATAATAGGCCAGGAAACGTGAAACCTGACCTTTGGACCTAAATTAGTCATGTCACTAGAGGAAAAGGGTAGACCATCAACTATTTTATTTTATTTATTAGTTTCAGGTATACAAAACAATGTAACAATTATACATTTCACCCCTCACAAAGTGGTAACACCTCTCCCCCAATCTATTGCCCCTCTGATATCATATATATCTATTACAATTCCATTGACTCCATTCCCTATACTATATTCCATATCCTGTGACTACATATATATTAAACTATAGTTGACATGCAATATTATTCAGCTTCAGGTGTACAGTGTAGAGGTCAAGCCTCTACACCGTCCATGAAGTGGTCTCCCTAACAAGACATGTGCCTACATGTCAGGTATTGTGGTAGGGACTTTACATACATGATCTTTTTAATCCTCAAAAAAAACCTGGTAAGGCTCCCATCATCCTTAAAATGGGTGTTGATATAAATCCTCATAGGAGACTTGAAGCTCTCTAGAAACTATAAATCATATAAATAAGATGCCACTGATTTTTAAAAAATCACTTTTCCTCAAATAGGTCTGAACAACACTCTCAAGTTGTATTTCACCGATAATACTTGTTTCAGCCTTTGTTGAGGTTGGTATTAGAAAACAAGACCATTCATCCATTTATTTAGTGAGCACTCACTGTGGCAGGCAGTGGCTGAGTGCCAGGGGCATACTGGGGAACAGGCCCGAGGCAGTGGCTGGCCTAATGGGGCTTTTGAGGTCAGGAGAGGGCAGTTTATTATTTTCTAGGCCCCACGAGCAAGGCCAGGCTTCCCACCAAGCTTACCCTTCTTCGGAGGGCTCCTTAAGCTCCGCCACACACCTGACAGGTACACCGTGCCATCAGCCATCAGAGTAGGACTGGAATATCAAAGCCCTTTATTGGAGAAAAAAAAAAAGAGAAAAATCTCAAAATAATCTGATGGAAGATAAAGAGCATCAATTTTGATGATGAAAAAGATTGGTAATCCAGAAGGCTAAAAGTAATTGGGAGGGGGCCAAGGATTCTGAATAGCAGAAGATATGCAGCTTTAAGATAAGCACTTTAAGGGCTAGAGATTGAAAACAGATAAAAACAAAACTCTCCTGCACACGAGATTTTCCTGAATTTGAGTTTCAAGTTATAGGGAAGCTAGGCCGCTTCCATTACATGAGTCTAAACCTTTTAGACCATTTGCTGTAAGGCCAGCCTGATCTACTACAGTTCTTTAAATGAAGTACTAGTTTGGGATATCCAGCAGCAATTATAACTCGAAGATATGTTGGCTTGGGACCTTTTGTTCATTCATTTTTATTTAACTCTTTATTTTAAAAAACACATTTCCCAGAAACAAAATTTTCAGGTTAAAGAGACAGAGACATGACAAAAGACAAAAAACAAAACAAAACAAAAATAAACCCCCAGCAAAACTTTTTTCCAAGTCTCCAGAAGAGTTTGTGTGATGTGCAAAATAAATATTATGATCATGACAAGAAAAATTATAAACTATTGACAAATCTACTTAGACAAAGAAAGCCACTAGCCTTACATATGAGCATAAGGGGACCAGATGGCAAGAGGAAAATGAAACTAAAGATAAACTGTTGAGTTGGAAAATAATCTCATTAAAATATAAATGACTCGGCTTCGATAAGGGAGAGCAGAGATAGTGGTCGTGCCTTGGAGCCTATCCAAGAACTCTCAGCCTGCAGTTTATGGGATGAGACCTGGAGTCCAAGACCAGTCGTCCAGCAACTTGCCCACGATTACCCCTCCAGCTGCCGGGTAGTGG